TCCGATTAATCGATTAATCGGTTAAGTTATCCGATTATAAAATCGATTTTGATTTCAAAATCGATTCCCATCCCTACACAGGAATTTATCGGATTTGGCATGTCGGAAACAGTCAAATCTAGGTTGAGTAGGTGGGGACGACAGTCACAGAAAATTCGCATATGGACGCATGTTGCGCTCGGGTAAGCTTTGCTTGGTGCCAGGGCGTAACCTATGAGAAAGGAAAGAAAGCAACCTCAGAATACAGTTAACTTAGTTACAACTAATGAGTTTATTTGCCTTTTATCAAAATTCTTAAATAGACAGAATATCCGTAATTGTATTTCATTGTATTTACTAATAAAAACACCTCCTCGATGAGGGACAAAATACCCTTTAACCTATTTAACAGTCGTTTAATGCTACTAAGGTTATAAAAATAAATATTAAATTATTCATTTTGTATTTTGTATTGGTAAACTTGAGGCATCTTACGTTCCTTTGTCAAAATTTATTCAAAGCAACCGTTGTTCATAATTAGCTTGATATCAAAAAGTTACAAAATTTGTATATAAGTACTGTTAGACCCCTACTTATAATACATCCATGATTCTAATTACGAATTTATGTGACTAAGGTTATTAAGTGACCTAGCGGTCTTGATCATGTCAAGAATGCTAAAGGCGCATAGATCTAATGCCTCAACAATACATTACTATAATAATTTAATAAGAATTCGATAGTGTTTTTTGAAGTTGATAAGCTTATCGTAGAATTTTGTCTGTTAGCGTACTTAGGGCTGTGCATCCATTTAAATTAGAGAAAACATTTATTCTCAAATGTCAAATTAAACGTAATTATTTACGTAATGTTAAATTAATCAGTGCTAATGTTTGAAAAAGAATCTATAAAGCGTAATGTAAAAGGTTTAGAAACTTGAAGCAAATTTAAAAGCATAGAATCTATAGTAGGATTTAATAATTGGCTTAGAGTTTTAGGATAAGGATGCAAATATTTAGCAATGAATTTCCCGACATTAAGTAATTATCGTCGTTTTTCTTCAGCTTCTGTAAAAATTTCGACCGTATCCCAATAACTAAAATATACTTAATCATATAATTCATCAATAATTGACCTTTTTAAGGGATTCGAATGCCAACATTTTTGCATCAAAATAGTCGAACATTGTGGCGTATCTAGCACAAGATGAGTGTTATATGGCCGATCATAGAAAGGGCGATACCCACTTGTAAGTTCCCACATAATCATTCGTAACCTATTGTTGGGTTCGGAAGATTGCGACTCTGTCGCTCCAAAATTCTAAACCTCGTGTAACGTACGACAAGTAACCTT